GGCACCAGAGGGGCCCAGTTTGCTAGGGGGAAGCAGCAGAAGGTACTGAGGTCACACGGAGAACAGAGCAACCGCCATTGTTCCCTCTAGACTCCGCCCCCACATACAATGTCACAACCCAGCGACTGGGGTGCCCTGCCCTGATGAACACCTAAGGCTCCGCCTCTCACACATAACAGGCACAACCAGACCAAAGGCAGGGTGGGGCAGGGGTGGGGGGGTGGAGGAAGATGGCTCAAACAGAAGTGAAAGCCCCACAATAGTACTTTTAAGTGACGGAGAGATAGCCAACCTATCAGATGCACAGTTCAAAGCACTGGTGATCAAGATGCTCATAGAATTGGGTGATTTTGGTCACAAATTTGATGAACAAATACAGGCTACGATAAGAGAAATGAAGGAAAATGTGAAAGAAACCAATAGTGATGGGAAGGAAACTGGGACTCAAAACAATAGAGTGGACCAGAAGGAAGAAAGAAACAACCAAACAGAAAAGAATGGAGAAATAAGAATTCAAAAAAATGAGGACAGGCTTAGGAACCTCCAGGACATCTTTAAATGTTCCAACATCCGAATTATAGGGGTACCACAAGGAGAAGAGGAAGAGCAACAAGTGGAAAACAGATTTGAACAAATAATAAAAGAGAACTTCCCTATTCTGGCAAAGGAAATAGACTTCCAGGAAGTCCAGGAAGCTCAGAGAGTCCCAAAGAAGTTGGATCCAAGAAGGAACACACCAAGGCACATCATAATTACATTAGCCCAGTAAAAATGGAGAGAATCCTAGAAGCAGCAAGAGATAAGGAGACAGTAACCTACAAAGGAGTTCCCATCAGACTGTCAGCTGATTTCTCAAAAGAGATCTTGCAGGCAAGAAGGGGCTGGAAAGAAGTATTCCAAGTCATGAAAGGCAAGGACCTACATCCCAGATTGCTCTATCCAGCAAGCTATCATTTAGAATGGAAGGGCAGATAAAGTGCTTCTCAGATAAGGTCAAGTGAAAGGAGTTCATCCTCACCAAGCCCTTATTTTATGAAATGTTAAAGGGACTTATCTAAGAAAAAGAAAATAAAAAAAAAACATGAACAGTAAAAGGACGGCAAACTCACAATTACTAATAACCACACCTAAAACAAAAACAAACTAAGCAAACAACTAGAACAGGAACAGAACCACAGAATTGGAGATGACATGGAGGGTTAGCAACAGGGGAGTGGGAGGAGGAGAGAGGGGGAAAAGGTATGGAGAATAGGTAGCATAGATGGTAGGTAGAAAATAGACAGGGGGAGGGTAAGAATAGTATGGGAAATACAGAAGCTAAATAACTTATGACACATGGACATGAACTAAAGGCGGGGAATGTGGGTGGGAGAGGGTGTGCAGGGTGGAGGGGAGTGAAGGAGGGGTAATAGGACAACTGTAATAGCATAATCAATAAAATATATTAAACAAACAAAAAAACCAGTGTAATGCAAAAACAAACATAAAACCTCCAAAACAAATACACAAAAAGCAATACAACCCACACTCAGACATATAATCAAAACTTCTGAAACCCAAAGGGAAAAGAAGTCTTAAAAGCAGTCAGAGAAGCAAAATGGTGGGTCCTCAGAATATTAAAAATAGAATTACCATATGATTCAGCAAGTAGACTTCTGGGTGTATACCCAAAAGAACTGAAAGCAGGGACTCAAAGTGATACTTATATATGTACACAGTCACGGCAGCATTATTCACGATAGCCAACAATGGAAGTAAGCCAACTGACCATCATCAATAGATAAATGGGAAACCAAAATGAGGTATATACATACAGTAGAATATTATCCAGCCTTAAAAAGGAAGAAAATTCTGATATATGTGATGACATGGAAGAACCTTGAGAACATATACTAAATGAAATAAGCCAGACACACAAAGACGAATACTGTATGCTTCCATTTATGTGAGGAACCTAGAATGGTCAAATTCACGGAGACAGAAAGCAGAAGGGCAACTGTCAGAGCTGGGGGAGGGAAAATAGGGAGCTGCTGTCTAATTAGTACCGAGTCTCAGCTTTGCGAGACGAGTTCTGGAGGTGGTGGTGGTAGTTGCAAACAATGTGAATGTACTTAATGTTACCGAACTGTACACTTAAAAATTGTTACAATGGCCAATCTTGCCACATTTTTTAGGAAAGCAGCCTAAGAAAGATGATGACCATGGAACAATGATCATGACAAGGCGGGACTCCTCATCGGGAACTGCGCAGGGAGGCAAGCAGACAGCGGGCTGTCTTTAAAGTGCCGGAAGCAAATAACTATATCCGGAGAAAACATATGCAGGGATAAAGGCCAAGTAAAGACACTTCTCAGATGAAGAAGGATAGGAAGACAGCATACCTGCTCTACGAGAAATGTTCAAGAAAGTTATTTAGGCTGAAGGGAAATAATAGCAGAGGAAAACTTAGGAAATGAAGGAGAAACATGAAGTGGTAAACGTATCCTCCTAAGTTCTTTTAAATGCATGTTAACTATTGAGAGCAAAAATTGTAGCAGTATCTGCTCCGGTTTTCAGTGTATGTCCCCATAATTTATACAACTGTGATATAAAAGGGGGAGGGTGAAAGGGTCCACATGGTTATAAGGCTTCTACATTTTACTTGAAGTGATAAAATATTAGCTGTACATAGACTGTAAACTGTTCTGATTCTGTGTTAATTTCATCAAGAATCTAAAAGCCTCTCTTTGGTGTCGGTGGCAGCCTCCAAACCATCTGTGCAGAGATGTAGATGTGAACAAAGCTGACTCCATCCTCCTGTGCCCCCTGGTTTCTTTCAAATTTCCATGTTCTGAACTTGACCTAATAGTCTCAGCCAGCACCAAAGCCTCATAATAACTAGTTGTGTCCTGTAAACTTACACAATGTAACCATAAAGAATCCTGTCAGTAAAAAAAAAAGAATGGCGTAGCAACTGAGATAAATACCAAACTAGGTGTGTCAGTTGTAAGCATCATGAGACCACCAGGAGGTACTGTCCCTTTGTCTTGTCCATCATTGGCAGTTCAGCTACACTAGAAAACATTTATTGTATCTATTATAAGTAACCTACTCTACAATAAATCGTTATAATTCTGGGTTGCCTACGATTGCCTGCCTCATTTTCTGGTCTCCAGATATCTTCTTGGTTTGGTGGTCACTGCACGTTTGTTCCACCTTCAGACAGTCTCCAGCTGGGAACTGAGTGTCAGAAGTCCCGAGAACAGGTATCAAGGGCACAGTTATTGGGGCTTAGTTTCTGATTCCAATTCTTAAAGCTTTACAAAGATGCTGGTCATACAAAGTCCAATCCAAAAACAAGCCAAACGCTGTAAGCCAGAGGCTCTTGCCTCAAGAAGTAAATGAGGTCACTATTTAGGTGACCTACCACTCCCACTTCACAGATGAATAAAAGCTGAGGGAGGGCCGGCCTATTTAAGTAGAACTGTAGAGCTTTAGGTTACAGAAACACTGTAGGTCAGAGTACGCCAGAATTAGTCTGAAAGCTTTTTATCAATTTTCTAATTGTGACCAAATGTATTTCAGAAGAATGCTCAGTTGCAGGCCAGATCACCAGTTGGGGGCGTGCGAGAGGCAACCGATCTATGTATCTCTCTCAATATTTCTCTCCCTCTCTTTCTCCCTCCCTTCTTCTCTCTCTAAAAATAAATTTAAAAATCTTTAAAAAAAGGAAAAAGAAAAATGTTCAACTTCCTATATAAATGAAAAACAGAATTTTGAATGAAGACTAATTCAGATTATTTTTTCTACCAGACTCAGAAATAATTATATGGCCTCAAGTCCAAATAATATCAAAGACAAATCCCTTCTATATGTTTATGGGAAAGTCTGGTTTTTATTTTCAACTCATTTTCTTCAGTTCTTATTGTAGAGATTGCTACCTGAATCCTAGTATGTTCTCCCCTTCCTCCACAGTAGTAGAATCCTGGTTTTGAGCCAAGGTATGTGGCTGCCTGGAACTGACTAATCCCCTGACCTCCCTTGCAACTAGGGGTGACCTGCCGTGGGCCTGAGCTTTGACCTGTGAGTTGTAAGAGGAGGTATTAAGAGGCAGCTTCCTGGAACCTTCCTTAAAACACTTATGGAGCGTCTCCTCCATTCTTTCTTCTTTGTCCCTTCTTTAATCCATCCTGTTGCTTGGAAAGTGGAGGCAGCAGCTAGGGCACTAGCTGTCACCCTGACTGTGAAGACCTGGAGAAGAAGCCCAGGCTCCTAGAGGCCCTGTGAGTGCTCATCATCCTCACTCCCGGTTGCCTACTTTTGGACATTTACGTTAGGGAGAAGTAAATCCCCTTGTTGTGTGAGCCAGTTACTTTTGGTTCCTGTTACATGCACTGAATTTAACCCTAATGACTGAAACCAAGAAACACTCCCAAATGAATCCTAGGAAGCAGTTTCAGGTGTTGAAACTATGGAGTCAGGTTACTAGGAGAAAAACCAATTAACCACCAAAAAACTTTAACGAAGACCTTATTAACTGGAGGGCCATTCTTTGAATACATTTTAGTTCTAAATGGTTCGATGACAAAAACACTGCCGGCAAGCCAGAGGGCCGTCCTCTGGACTTGGGCTTGGACTGGACAATGAGGGTGTTGAACTAGACATCTGGTCCAGCGCTAGAATTCTCGTCCATTTTCTAACCTCCATTACATTATAAACTCCTCTCCACTAAATACGTCCATGTCAAGTGCTTATCCTAGTGTTTGGCGCACGGAAGACGCTCTGTCAGCTCCTAGGCACCACATTGCCTCTCATTTCCAGTTTCTAGTCCCTTCGCACAGATGGTGCTCTGCGAGGGGCTCCTGGCGTCCACTGAGGCTGCTTTTTGATCTTCGGTTGATCCCCGCTTGCCTTCCAGAAGGCGTCTCCCCCACACTTACTAGTGTCAACAGGAAAAGCCTGAGAAAAGGAGACTCCTTAGGTTCCAAGCTACACAAATCCAAGGGAGAAAAAAACAGCAGTGGAGGAGGAAATACACCATTTATTTACAATTCTTTCACTTTATCCACAATTTCCCATACAAACATAAAAACTAAAAAAATAAAACCACCACTTGGGAACACGAGTGTCTTTCTTCAGTCCGGCTGAGGACGGGTCACGAGCCCTCTCTGCGGAAGAGACGGAGGCACACGGAAGGGGCGGCGCGGGGTTAGGAAGAATGCCTGAGACGCAGCTCCCGATGAGAAACGGAACACGCCTGCCTGTGTGGAGGGGCTCCACTGGCAGAGACGCAAGGGTGCCACCCACCAGGGACACCGCTTGGCTTCTCAAGAAGATGACATCTGCTTGCCACCATCCCTACTTCTCCACGACCAAACACCAAAAATCGATCATGGGTCACACAGCTCAGGAGCTGGGTGAGGTGTGATCATGATAGCGGGGGACACTGGACGCCTGTCTCTGAGAAGAGCCCCAAACCTCAGAGACACATGGGAAACCCCTTTCCTTGGCACTGTCAGTCACAGCTTTTGTCTTTAATACAACGCTGACTTAAAAATGTAAAAACAAAAGCCCTCCTCAGATTCTGGGGAAAGGCAGGGGCTAAACACATGCAGAAGGGCTTCTGCCTCTGCGATCCTCTCTCCAGGAGGCTGCTAGGGGAGGAGGGTGGGGAGCTCTGTCCGAAGATGGAAGGAGCAGGGTAGGTGCTGCACCAAGGCCTGGAGCGGGAGGGGAGTGGGGCAGGAAGAAAAACTCTGGGACACTGATGTTGGGGATGGCTGCCACTGGTCTCACAGCAGCCCCATCTGCTCAGTGATGCTCATGCTAACAGACGCCCATGCGCCTCCCTCACAGGACGGCACCCAGAAACCAACCTGGAGGTGCTGACGCCACCTCCCTGGCAGCTTCACCTGTGCTAGTGACCTGGATTGCTTTCACATGTTGATGCACATTATAAATATAAAATCATATCTGCTACAAAGAGGACATATATTTGTACATCTTTACCCATATACATAATAACACAATTTACACATAATATCTTGGAGTGGGTCATCATGGAAAAAGGATTGGGAGAGGTAAAACGCCCCTCCTCCCTTCCCTGCCCTGATCCTTCTCAAGGGACACTTGTACACTTAGTCACTGGGGCCGTTCCCAGCTGATGGGGCTAGTCTGGATAAAGGAATTCAGACATGTAATTACATGTTGGGTGTGTACACCCACCTATGCACACAAATGCACACTCACATACTGGTGACAAAAGGAAAAATAAAACTCCTAGCCCTTGGGTGCAGGCCTCTTCCCAGAGTTATAAGCATCAGTACCTCGCTCCATCTGAGAACAATGGTCTTAAAAAGCTGCCCCTCACTGGCTCAGACCAGGACAGAAGGTAAAAGGGCTAGGAACTGGGAACAGGGGAGAGGGGGCCAGGAGTATTTTGAAAACATAAGGCATTTTTGACCTGTGATTAAATCAAACCACGTGACAAAAAGCAACAGTATCAGTTGGGGCTAGGAGGCAAGAGACAGCCAATCCATGGAGGGATGATGTGAGTTAAGACCCTGAGCCTTCCCCTTCATTTGTCCAGTTTCTTTTAAAGGGGCAGACAACCCTGTACCTCCTTTTCAGTCCTCTCCCAGGGCTGGGCCCATCCACGTGGCACGGAATACTGACAGCGGTCCAGGAGACCCACCCGGAGACATGAGGTGGTGGATAGGCACGCCGAAAAGTTAAGACCTGGGCGGCAGATGTGAGTGTTCTACAGCAGGAGTAGTTCCTGGCCGGGGTCCACAGCTCGCACAGTGTCCACAGTGATCAGATCGCCATCAGAGATGGGGGCAGTCTGGGTTCCCAAGGGGAGACAGCACCTATCGGCGGTAGTGATTGGGGGCGTCGGCAAACATATACTTGAGTCTGTACGCCTCGGCGAGAAGCAGCCCGATCTCTTCGTTGCCCCAGTGTATCGTAGGTAGGTTTTGTAGCAGCATGAGGAGACCCTGGAAGGCAAGAAAGGACTGTTCCTCATCCCAGGACTACAGAGCAAAGGACCAGCAGGCCCTGGAACGGGGCCCCTTTGTCCTGGTTCATACATCCCAAAGGGTAAGGCCTCTTTCCTCCCAAGCAGCACATGGCCCTCAGCCCAAAGTTCAACTACAGGGAGCCTTGAAAAGCCTCTGCTAATTCTCGGACCCATTAACACCTACCTCTTTAAAAGTACTGTAGAGAATGACAACAATAAATAAGGATATTTTTAAAAGAAAAATAATCACTCAGCCTCAAATATCTCTAATTTTTTTGTCTTTTCACATGCATATTTCTTTAAATAGCTGTAATAATAATTAGAATTTTATGTGCTTTCAAATCATTTTTACCCATAATTTTCATGTTTTCCCATGTAGCCTTCAAAAATGATTATATTAAGTATTAGTATTCTGTCATGTGGCTACATCCTAATTTACTCAACCATTTCCCTTTTGCCAGTAACTTAATTTGCTTCCTTAAAAACAAAAACACAAAAAACCTTTATTGGAGACTGCTACCTATCATTCTGCATTTAACATTTTTCTCACAATATCAATGTTACTTGTAATCACCCTATTTATCCTCTGCTGTGTTCTCCAAAGACTGTCCCCAACCTACATGTCCCGCTTATTTCCCACTTTTCCTAACGTGTATGCCTCATCCAGCCAGGTCCACCTCAGCCAGATTTACTTCTGCCTCCATGGTTTATGTTGTTCCTTTCACTTGAAACACCTTCTCTTTTCTCCTCCACCTATCTAATCCTATTCAGTTTTCAAAGCACAGGTCCCTGAAACAGCTCCATGGAGATAGCCTATTAAAAAAGATATTAGAATTAAAAATAACTGTGAGATTTAGGTTCTCTTTATAGTTTAGTTACTCGTGCTATTATTGTTGCTGCTTCAAGTTCTTCTTCTGTCTCTCTTTCTGAACTGGTATTCTTGCTATTTTTCTGATTATAAAAGTAACAGTAGGGACAGAAGACGGCAGCCAAGTAGGTGGAAGCTACGTCCACTTGTTCTTGCAACTCAGATACTCGGCTGATCTGCCAACAAATAAACTGAACATTCAACAGAATCTTAGCTGATATGAATTTGGAGCCAAGGGGAACAGAAGACACCTTGCAATGGGTGCATACAAGACATGGCAGGGGTCGTGGCTCCAGCTGGAGGGGAGAAGCCACCAATGAGCCGCCAATAATCAAAGCCCAAGAACAACAAGAGAGCCCACATACACGGAATAAAGGGCAGCCCTACCGCATCCAGATCAGGAGATTAAAGAGACAGTACCACTGAGTCCCACAGAACTCCTACCACAGAAGTTCACCTCACGAAGACAGCAGGCAAACTAGAGAAACCTGAGAGGCAGAAACAAACAAAAAGCCATCTAAAATGGGTAGACAAGGAAATAACCCCCCAGAAAAATAGCTAAAGAAATTGAGGCAAGCAATTTATTAGACATACAATTCAAAATAATGGTTATAAGGATGCTCAAGGAACTCAGTGTGAACTACAAGGAACTTTATGGGAGGTACAAGGAACTTACTGGGAACTACAGCAGCATGAAAAAGGACATAGAAACTATGAATAAAAACCAGGAAGAAATGAAGAATATAATACCTGAAATGAAAAATACACTAGAAGGAATTAAAAACAAACTAGATGAAGCAGAGGACCAAATCAGTGAGCTGGAAGACAAGGTAGAAAGAAATACCCAGTCAGAACAACAAAACAAAAAAAGACTCAAAAAGAACAAGGACAGTTTAAGGGAGCTTCAGGACAACATGAAATGTAACAACATTCACACCATAGGAATATCAGAAGAAGAAAAGGAGCAAGGGATAGAAACCCTGTTTGACAAAATAATGACAGAAAAGTTCCCTAACTTGGTGAGGGAAAAAGTCACACAAATTCAGGAAGTACAGAGGGTCCTAATCAAGATGAAACTAAAGAGGCTCACTCCAAGACACATCATAATTAAAATAGCAAAATTTAAAGACAAAGAGAGAATCTGAAAGGAAGCAAAGGAGAAACAGCTAATAACATACAAAGGAACTCTGATAAGGCTAATAGCTTATTTCTGAACAGAAACACTACAAGCCAGAAGGGACTGTCATGAAATATTCCCAGGTAGTGAACAGCAAGGACCAACAACCAGGACTACCCTTTCCAGCAAGGCTCTAATTTAAAGTGAAAGGTGAAATAAAGAGCTTCTCAGACAAAAGAAGGCTAAAAGAATACACCCAACAAACCAGCACTGCAAGACATGCTAAAAGGACTGCTTTAAAAAGGAGGAGAGAGAGAGAGGCAGGGGGAGAGAGATAGAAATGAGAGAGAGAAGAGGAGGGAGAGGGAGGGAGGGGGAGGGGAGGGGAGGGGGAGGGGAGGAGAAACATAGGTATGGAAAAAATGGCAATGAATAAGTACCTACCAATAACCTTAAATGTAAATGGATTAAATGCTCCAATCAAAAGACATAGGGTAGCTGAATAGATAAGACAACATGACCCACATATCTGCTGTCTACAAGAGACCCACCTCAGAACAGAAGATCTACACAGGCTGAAAGTGAAGGGATAGAAAAACATAGTCCAAGCAAACCGACATGAGAAGAAAGCAAGGGCAGCAGTACTTATATCAGACAAAACAGACTTCAAAACAAAGGCCATAAAAAGACAATGAAGGTCACGACATAATACTTAAGGGAGTAGTCCAACAGGAAGATATAACCCTTGTAAACATATATGCACCCAACACAGGAGCACCTAAATGTGTAAAGAAAATCTTGATGACTTCAGGCAAAATACTGACAACAACACAGTCGTGGTAAGGGACTTTAACACCCCACTGTCAACAATGGACAGATCTTCCAAACAGAATCAATGAAGACATGGTGGCACTAAATGACACCCTAGACCAACAGACTTAATTGATATATACTTTTAATTGAGATATACTTTCTTTGGGAAGAAACTTTCACCCCAAAGAAGCAAAATATACATTCTTTTCAAGTGCACATGGAACATTTTCAAAGACAGACCACATGGTAGGACACAAAATAAGCCTCAACAAATTCAAGAAAATTGAGATCATATCAAGCATGTGCTCGGATCAAAATGGACTGAATCTAGAAACCAATCTCAAGGAAAAAACTAAAAAACCCTCATATGCATTGAGACTAAACTACATATTATTAAGTAATGAATGGGTTAACAATGAGATCAAGGAAAACATCAAAAAGTATTGGGAAACAAATGAAAATGAACTCACAGCAACCCAAACCTATGGGACACAGTGAAAACAGTCCTAGAGGGAAGCTCACAGTGATACAGGCCTACCTAAAGAAGATAGAAAAACCTCAAATAAACAACCTAACCCTACATCTACAAAAACTAGAGCCCAACAAACAAAGCCCAGATTGAGTAGAAAGAAGGAAATAATCAAGGTCAGAGTAGAATTAATCGACACAGAGACTAAAAGAACAATTCAAAGGATCAATAAATCCAGGAGCTGCTTCTTTGAAAAAATAAACAAAATTGACAAACCTTTTAACCAGAGTCATCAAGGAAAAAAAGAGAGAGAACCTAAATAAATAAAATCAGAAAAGAAGAAGTTACAACCAATACCACAGAAATACAAAGGATTGTAAGAAATTACTATGAAAAACTCTAAGCCAATAAATTGGACAACCTGGGCGAAATGGACAAATTCTAAAAACATACAATTTTCTGAAACTGAATAAAGAAGCAGCAGAAAGCCTGAATAGAACAGTAATAGTGAGATGGAAGCAGTAATAAAAAACTCCAGACACACAAAAGCCCTGGACCAGAAGGCTTCACAGGTGAATTTTACCAAACACTAAGGAAGAACTACCACAGTTTTCAGACTATAAGATGCACATTTCCCTCCCCCAACAAATTTGGGAGGAATAATGGTTGTTAATGCTGCTATTGAGTTCTACTTACATTTACACTGGTGAAATATATTATTTATGTTATTAAATATTTTATCACATTTTTTGTTTCAAAAATTTTTTCCCCCATTTTTCTCTTCTAAAACCTGGGTGCATCTTATGGTCTGAAAAATATGGTAATTCCTATCTTTCTCAAACTACTCCAAAAAATCCAAGAAGAGCCCTGGCTGGTGTAGCTCAGTGGTTGAATGCCTGTAAATTAAATGGATACTGGCTCGATTCCCAGTCAGGGCACATGCCTGGGTTGTGGGCCAGGTCCCCAGTGGGGAGTGCTCAAGAGGCAACCGCACACTGATGTTTCTCTCCCTCTCTTTGTCCCTCCCTTCCCCTCTCTAAAAATAAATACAATTTTTTAAAAAGTTCACGAAAAGGGAAGACTCCCAAACTCTTTTTATGAGGCTGTATCATCCTAATTCCAAAACCAGGTAAAGACACAACAAAGAAAGAAAAACACAGACCAATATCTCTGATGTATATAGATGCTAAAATCCTCAACAAAATATTGGCAAACCAGCAATACATTAAAAAGATCATACACCATTATCAAGTGGGATTCATCCCAGGGATGCAAGGATGGTACAATATTGGCAAATCAATAAATGTAATATATCACATAAACAAAATGAAGGACAAAAACCATATGATCATATCAATGTGATCTACCCAAAGCAATCTATAGATTCAATACAATTCCTATTAAAATATTCCATTGGTAAATGGCATATTTCACAGATCTAGAACAAATATTTCAAAAATATATATGGAACCAAAAAAAGATCCCAAATAGCCTCAGCAATCTTGAGAAAGAACAAAGTAGCAGGGATCACCATACCTGATATCAAACTATATTACAAGTCCACAGTAATCAAAACAGTCTGGTACTGGCATAAGAACAGACACATAGATCAATGGAATAGAAAAGAGAGCCCAGAAATAAACCCAAGTCTCTATAGTCAATATTTGACAAAGGGAGCATGAGCATACAATGGGGTAAAAATAGCCTCTT